GAGAAGCCAGAGACGATGACCATGAACAAAATGAGAAGGATTGTGCAAAGGGAGAAGCCGCACCTGAGAATGCAGCCAAAGCTGAAAGTGGAGAAAAAGAAGAAGAACCAAAAGAAGAAGAGGAAGAAGTGCCATTAAAGGGAGCAGTTGGGAGGCCAGCAGCACTGGATGCTATTCCAATCCTGGCACCGCAAGAGCAAGCACCCCGAAAAAAGAAGTCTGACAAGAAGGAGAAGAAGGGAGCCAAAGGCCGTGGAAGAGGCAAGAAGAATGGAAAGGGCAAAGGAAAGAAGGCAAGAGAGAGTGGATCTGATGATGAGGCTGAAGAAAATGACAGCTGCAGCGGTGAAGAATCAAATGCTGGAGATTCTGATGATCATGAATCTGTGGAGGAGCCTCCACCCGAGCCAAAGGAATCCAAGAAAAGCAAGAAGGAGAAAACTTCAAAGAAGACTGCAAAAGCAAAGGCTATGGCAAAACAGAAAGCTCGGACAAAGGAGTCAAAGAAGAACCAACAAGCAAAGACGCAGAAGAACAAAACGCAGAATGATGAAGCGGAGGAGGCAAAGGAGGATGAGGCACAGGAGAAGAATGAGAAGCCAAAGCGAAGGAAGCGGGTTCGACCAGAGACCAAGACTGACAAAAAGGAGAAGCAGGAAAAGACCAAGAAGCCAGAGGAAAAGGATAAAAAGAAGATGCGGCAAACCAAGCCTGACCAGGATGATGAGGAGGAAAAGGGCAAGGCGTTGGCAAGGAAAAGGAAGTCGGTTCAGGCCAAGGTTGATGCAAAGGAGGAAGCTGAGGAGACAGAGGAGCCAAGCAAGCCAAAGAGGTCAAAGAAGGAATCAGGGCGGAAAGCTGCGCATGAAAAGAATGGTAAAGACAGCAGTGAAAACCAGGATGAAGAGGCTGATGAGAAGGAGGCTGAGAAGTTGGAGACAAAAGCAAAACAAAGCAGGAAGAGTTCTGCATATCATACGGCAAAGCGGGCGGCTCTGAAGGAAGGACACACGAAGGAAGAAGCACTAGAGATTGCAAAAGAGGTTTCTTGGTGTTTGTGTCTGGCACAGTGCTGCTTCTCTTTGTATTTTGCAAGTTGGAGTTGAGCTAAGGCTTATCGCAACACCAAGTGATATCTATATCTGGTTCTGTGAGGGCATCTTGGCCTAGCTGAAATGGCTAGAGCTTCGGGGTTATCTCATGTGAGGAAATGGTCATGGCAAAGGCTGCACAGCAGCGCCCATGCCAATCAGCCGTTTGAACACGTGAGAGCTTTGGGGAAGAGAAGTTGAAAAGGGTTGTACATGGTTTTACGGGTCGAGGGGGAGGCATTGCAATCAACGCACCACAAGGAACACATGGCAAGCAATTGCTCCAATGTGCCTACGCAGGTCCAGGCCTTCATCATGAATGAGGGCTGGGCCATTCGATTTGGAGGCCACTTCGGATCCTTTGACTTTCTTAGGTCCCACTTCTGAACCTTTGCACCTATTGTTCAGCACATTGAAGAGCATCTGCACATGGCTGCTGTATCTATCAGAGCTGTTTAACCTTTTGGATCCCCGGTCCCCTGACTGTTGTGAAGCCATGGATTCCATGGTGGTGAATCTTCAGCAAGTCGGAGCCCCCAAGGCTGGCACAACATGGGTGTTAATATGTCTTATGTGGCAATGTATAGTGCAACAATTGGTGTTCATGCCCGTGTGCAGGTCCTGATAGCAATCGTGTTGTTGCTTCAATGGTCAAAGAATCTGCCAGAGATCCGAACGCGGTTCCAGTTCTTGGACCTTTTTGCAGGAGAGGCTAAGGCCTACACAGTTTGGCCCTTTGAAGCACGTACATATGCATGTGCAAAGAATTTTACTAGAAGGTAGCAGTTCGCTGTATGAGCCATACAATCTGCATTCCTAGACAGCTAAGGAAATCCAGGGGATATATTTGTGCAAAAATTGATGAGATCTATTGCAAGGGGGAGAGGACCATGAACTTTTTGAACTCTGCGGGGTTCGCGTTTTTTGTCTAAAGAACATAATAAACATAACCATACACATGGCATATGTATGCACTTGCTCACTGCCGTGCTGGGGAGCCATCTCCTGAGGCTAGTGCTATGGGTAGTTCTTTGCGAAGCTGAAGAATCGATGAACCTGATGGGCCCGGACTGCAGTTCATGGGGAGTTCCAGCAAGGGGTACAACAAGAAGGACATATGTCAATGTGAATGGAGCTATGCATTTAGACTTTGTTGGGCAAGGGAATCTTTGCATCAGTCGGACTTTTGGACCAGTGTGATCTATAAGGCTTTCTATTTGCAACCTTCATCTTTTCTAGGTTGGCTGGGGGCCATCTTAAACTAATAACTGGTCTCTGTCCCAGGATGGTTCTGATCTTGATGGTCATAGTGGCGAAACATTGCTACTTTGTAGTTGAGCAACCTGGTGGATCGATCCTGAATCGACATCGGAGATGGGAGGCGTTTTGTAATTCCACATGCTATGCTTCTCAACTCAATTAATTTGCAACAGGTGATCCTTCCCAGTACGTTTGAAAACGTTGGCCACCTGTCAACCCCATTGAGATCTGGACCCAAACCTTTCCCATAAAGTGGGGCCAAGGTTTATTGCGTTCGCTTCTGGATGATGCTTCTGGGCGGCCTCACCAGTAAACCAACTCTGTGCTGGAGCAATGCCACATGGATCCAGGGCCTCAATATGGGCAAGTTGACCAAAAAAACCAAAGAAGCCAACACATCCCTTCAACCAGTCCGTCAGAACCTTATGTTTCATCATGTGGCTGTTTGCAAACTTAATTAGAAGAGTGTTGCTCTGGAATGAGGCAAATACCAGAACAAACGTGGGGAGAAGAAATTTGTTGGCACTGGTGATCTCAAGCAAACAGCGTTGGCTACCTAGATTCGATATGTGTACATAGCTGTTCCCATGCAATCTCATGCTCTGTCCTCTGAGGGCATATCCTGAAGGGTTTGGATTGCGTCTACTGGAGCTCTACGAAGGACGTCGTGAGTTGCCGAGTCACCTACGACACAAAGCCGCTGTTGACCTGACCTGTTCAGACAGGGAACTATTTGATTCAATGCCACTAGGTGATCCCTGGTTGGATGCAGAGCTCCACCATGTTTTCTTTTACCTTTACAGTAGCAAGCATCTGGTCGTTCCAGACAGCTGGATGGCCGTGATGTCCAAATTCAATGATGACTTGATCAAGCTAGCACCTTACCTGTACCAGGCTTTCATTGCTGGTGCCCATCACATCCCTTTCCTGCCCGGTGCCAGCCCAGGCATGCGTTGATGAGGTGGAACGCTTGGAATACAATGCAGCTGTTCAATCTTAGGCTGTGGAGGTATCTTTAGGTGATTTGTGTGGATTCACACAAATCTTCTCGACCGAAAATTTGCGCAAAACGGGCGCAAATCCGCGCAAAAAACCGCAAAAAACCGAAAATTTCAAAAGTGTACTTTTGTGGAATGCATTTCAGGGATGAACTGCTAGTTGTCATGAATTGTCTAGCTAAACCAGATTTTTGGGTCCAAGAGATGCCAAAGGAGGTGACTAGTTGCCTGACTTTAGTCAAGGGCTGTGCCATGTCTTGTCCAACACGGGACTACAGCAAAGAAGCTACTCTGGCAAAGCTTGAGGAACCTCATCTGAATGCTGAATATGCTAATATATATGGGCTGAATAGATCTTAATTGTATGAACCCCTTGTTGCCGCCTGCCCACCGCCCGCTCACCGCCCAGGAGACCCGTGCCAAGATAGCGGCACTGAAAGCTCGTCGCAACAGCTTCTTGCAGGAGAGGGGCACCTCAGCGGTCCCAGGCTGAACCAAGGGTGATGCTTTTCACATGTGCACTATGTATGGTCCCATGTGTGTGTGAGCCTTCCCCACTATGGATGTTTGATTATCAACTTGATTTCCGAAGGTGCCCCGGCTATTGCATCAGCTAGTGGTGCCTTTGTGGCTGGGAATACACAAGCTCCATTGGCTCAGAGTGCTCTGCCCGATGTGAGCCCTCGTCCTCCTTCGTTTGACAGTGCATGGAGGATGGAATCGAAAGACTTGCATTCACTTCATGTGGTTCCTCCTGCCGAACCATATGTGAACCAAACCCTGACCCTTCCTGATACACCGGTGCCACCCACGCAGGAAGCAGGTGGGAAAGAAGGTGATACGCCTCCGCTGTCTCAAGGTGGTCAACCACAGGGTCAAGATGGCCCTGGTGTGGGTGACCAACTGCAGGCTCAGGATGGTGGCCAGGGTGTGGGTGACAATGTGATCGATCTCACTAAGGGTGAGGGTGGAAAGGATCGTCCAACGGCAGTGGCAGGGGATGGGGATGATGGGGTGCCACTTGGGTATTCCCCAGGTTCCCCAGTGCCATCATCTGTGGTACCCTCGACCGCTCATGCAGCAGAGTCAGCAGAGTCTGAAAACAAGTTTGACAAGTACTACCACCAGTGCCTAGATGGCAACAGAACATGTATGTGTGTGTGGTGCCTGAATTGTTTTTGAAATGTTTTGGAACACCTGCCACTTTTGGTGCTTGGGTTTTGTTCTATGTACCTAGGATTCGGCGCTATTGTGACCCGAAGTACAAGACACAGGTCAAGGCTTCAAAGGAAGTGCTGCAGTTGTACAACACTGATGAAGGTCGTCTCATGTCCCCTATTCATAGCATGTGGACTTGCAAATGTCATTTGTTTCCTATCTTTTAGACAGGGTGTGTCACGCACCCGCTGTATAAGGTGACAAGCTCCGGGCTTTGCTCAAGACTCATGGTTCCTTCAAAAGTGTGGAGGCCGAGGTTGCACGTTGGCATACCGAGCTGAAACGGGTTGGCCAACATGGCAAATGGGTCACCAAGACCTATTTGAGAGAAAAGGAAAACTACACTGCGCATCTTGCTTGTTTTGATGTGTATGTGTATGGAATGCTGTGTAATTACCAAAGCAAACTATATACCTTTATGCACATTAGCTCTTCATGATCTAAGGCAAATGGCGGATAGGTCCTTTGCATGGGCAGAGAAACGCGGTCTTCTTCGTACCAACCAAGTTCATGGGGAACAAGAAGCCCGTCTTGTTCTTGAAGATTTTTTCCAGCACACTTCTGAAACAGGGGAGTCGACAAATCTTCGGGCTCAAGGGACTCTTGAGGCAAGGCTTCCATTTGAGTAGATTGAAATGAGTGACTGTATATCTGAGATCTGTATGTATACATATCGATATACGCTACAATTGATCGACATTATTTGTGGGCAGGATGTGGATGGAGGCATGCTGGAGTCCCAATTTGCTGGGGAGGATGCAAACGCAGCAGTTCCAGAATCTGCTGAAGACCGTGTTAAGCAAGCAGCTGTTGTGGCTGCTGCAGGCAAGAGCAAGCAACTTTGACAGCACTGTGCTGCAATAAAGCATGCACATCTTGTCATGTGAGTTGTCCATGCTGGATTCTTGTAGGGTGGGGGTAAACTCTAGTTGAGGCTGGTGTTTCCGACTATCCAGCGAAATGATTCGCCATTTGCTGTACTACCCACATTCATCAATGTACTGGGCAAGAAAGTCGACTCAGCAACTGACACCAAGGACTATATACGTGGGTGTGCACACAAACAGTTTGCAATAAGTCCATGCAATATATATTCTGCTTACCAGGACCGTCTTATTGCGATGAAGATTCCCCGTGCAACAGAGTTCCTTGGGCGAATATTGACATGTGTGTGTGGGTGCTAGATTGTGCCACTAATTTCATGCAACCTCATGGTTATATTTTGTGTGCTGTGATTCATAAGGATGGCCAAAGAGATGGAGAAGTTGCTCACAAGCTTGAACAGCCTGTATGGCAAGTTGAGTGCCAAGCAAGCTGACTACCTTGCCATGGATACCTCCAAACCTGAGTGGGGGGGTCCAAATTTTTGTAACTCTTAATGTCATGTAGTTATTTTGAGGGAACACAAAATGATTTTTGCGCAGAACTTCCCAAAGGAGTCTTGAGGCCAAGAAGAACGAGGTGATGGGACTTTTTGCACAGTGCACAAAGGATGATGTGACACTTAACAACTACCTCACTCGGAGCAAGATTCTCAAATGCCATTTAGAACTTATGGCTATAGCTGTGCATTGTCTTTTTTATACATGCATGATCGAATTACCTGAGCTCCTCCTGAGGAATATCAAGAAGCCAACTGAGTCTGTGGCTGCAAAGAAATCGTTGAAGCGGAACCCGCCTTCGGGAGAGGTCGCAAAGGCCAAGAAAGCAAAGAAGTAGGACAGGCCCCACTTCCAAGGAGAAATGGGGTTCTTTGGCATTTCAAGACCTGGCTCTTATGATGTGGTGAAACAATTCCAAAAACTATTACGATATAGCTAGGTTGTCCTTTGTTGTTTGAAGGAGCCAACTTTTCTACCTAATCTCACTGCAAACAGCGTGTTGCTGGACGCTGCTGTCAAATTTGCAATAGGATCTCAACCATTTGTGCTCGAAGAGCTTTGATGGGGGCAAATGTCAAAGAAAAAGGACCGTGATTCACTGGCCTGCTCACACACCAGGTGGCACCAGGCCCGGTGCCACCAAGCATTCCCCAATTCCCACGGTGTGCTGTGTGCAGGCCTGGATCCTTGTGACCAAGAGCCTGATCAGGATGATCAAGGCCTTCGGGTGGCAGCTGGGGAGGTGGAAAGTGGGTGCACACAACCGCTGGCAGGATCATCATCTTCGACGTCTGACCTTGTGGACGCTTTGCTCCAGGACACTGAGCAAGGGGACCTTTGCCAAGATATAGTTGGTTTTGCAATTTCTATACTTTTCATGAGGTATATACTATTGAAACCTGTGGTGACCCTGTTGTTTCTTTCCTTATTGGCTCACTGTCCTAGGCTACTTCTTCCAAGCGAATCATTAAACTGGCAGCTGTTGCAGCCAAAAGGATGAAGCGATTGGGTGCACATGGGTTCTTTGTTTTTGAAGAACTATTTTAAACATGTTCCATGCATGTAGCTAGCATGGGGTGAACCTTCCCTGACATCTCACTCCGTGCAGGTGTCCAAGATCATGAACTCAACCGGTTGGCCCGGTACAGACAGTCGAAGAGTGGGAGGAAAGGTGCAAATGCTGCTCGGGACTTCCACCGGTATGTGCACCGGCATGGCAGGGTTCTGGATGTTAAGGTTTCATCCATTTCAATCCTACTGCGGCAGAAGGTGACCACAACCTCTGGGAAGCGGCGTGTCAAGGAAAGGCTTGGTGACCATCCTGTGATACACCTATCAAGCTGGTGTCAACAAATGCTGGAGAAGTACCCAAGATATATACTGGGAGGGTATTGCCCTGAGAAGGATGGTCATCAATCCTACATGGACATGTTTGCTTCGTTCTGGATCAACTATTGCATACTTGACCGGGACCACCCAGTTCGTGAGAAGAGCTTGGAGGAACTACAACACACCATACCGATTGCCATTCATGGGGATGAAGGTCGTGGACTTTCCAAAGTGCCAGTAATGTGCATATCCTACCAGTTGCTGATCCCATCTTCCGGCCCAGATAAACTCAATTGCTCTCAGTCCCTTAGTGCTGAATTAATATTATTATAGTTTTAAGGTATTTCTTCCACATATCCTGGATATTCAATATGAGAAGGACATGTTCTTGTCCACAGACCCGTGGCCCAATTGAGGAACTCTTTCACGACAAGGCTATTGTATACCCTGATGCCTGCCACATGGTATGCCCGCAAAGATGCGAGCATTCGTGGACTCCTGCAAGCGTTGGCTGCTGATTTGACTGCGCTGTTTGAGGAGGGACTTACGGTGACAGTTCCTTTGAAGGATATATATAAAGCTTTGCTTCTTTTCAAATCTCAACCTCAAAGAACCAAAAGGATCTTAAAGGGTTTGAATGGGTCCCAATGTGTTTATCTTTGTTTGGTGGGGGTGGGTCCAGCACTCTCCATGCAGGTTGCTGGCCAACGCAAGCAGTTCTTTGTGGCGTTCCTGGGGTGTAAGGGAGATTGGCCATGGCTTAGGAAGGCATATAATTTGGCCAGCGGCTTCACCTCACGGAGGGTCTGCCATTTATGCAGTGGATCAGATGCTTCAATGTACATAGACAAATTTATGTTTTGTGTGTTTGGGTCTCGCAATTGTTTGTGCATATATATATATATATCTAAGTTATTTATAAGTGGAACTTGTTTTCATCCTAGGAATGGTGGAATATGACATCCTCTTGTGAAGCACGGGATTGGAGGAATGCTGAGCCAGCTCCTCACCCTTACAAGGCAGGTACGCCTTCACCACTGAGATCCATTCCAGGTGGTGACAGGCCCTCTGCGATCAAGCCAGACTTAATGCATACATTCAATATTGGCATTGGCGGTGACTTCGCTTTTTCTGCGGTCATTACTCTTTGTTGTCTGAGTTTCTTTGATGACTATGGGTCCACAATTCAGAAACGTTTGGATTGCGCATATGACCGTTTTGCTCAATGGTGCTTTGACAACCACAAGAATGCCCAGATCAAGTCTTTTGAGCTGAACAAGTTCCATATGACTTCGTTTCTGAACTGGTCTTGGATTTCTGCATGCTTTCTATTTTTTCTCAACTCCCAACACCTGCCAGCCACCAATCAATCCCTGGCCCATCTTGCCTGAGCCATTGCCAGGTTGAAGCAGTATCCTCGAGGTACGGGCCGGGCTCATGACACGGGGCTTGTTTGTAAGTGGCTGAATGCAGAACTTCAGGGGATAGTTCCTGGAGATTTTGACTATTGGCTGGGACTGCAAACCTTTTTGTTTATTCTTGTTGGTGGTGCTCTGATAGGAGAGCATGCATTTGTGGATCTGTTGCCTAAAAACATCTAGGAACACCCAAACATCATGGAGATCCTGCAGTGGACGTTGCAGAACTTCAACATGTTCTACCACTTAGTTCATGGCGAAGGGCTCTGGATGCCAGTCTCAGTGGCGCAAAGGGTTGTGCAACATGGGTTTGCTGGTGGCGATACTTGTTGTCCCTCCAAGTGCATGTTTTCTTTAAATTGGTCTGGTTAGGAAAAGCCTTAGCTGTTACTGTGCTGGTGAAAAGTCATCTTAGCCCAGGAGGGGTTTGCAGCTTTGGCATCTTTGGCCAAGCAGCGAGGCTGGCACCTTTACAAGTTACGACCCAAGCTGCATATTTGGGTACACATCTCGAGGCTTAGTTGAAGCGATTCACATTCCTTTTTGCTGGTAAGAATTTTGTGCACACCTTTGATGCCAAGGACGATGCTGGAGAAGGATTGCACTTGGACTTCCAAAGTCCTTAACCCCCTTTGCTCCTAGACTGATACTGGCCAAGTGTTTGCATGTGAAACCTTTCTGGCCCTAACAGCTTCCTGAACTAAGGCTGGGGGTGCTGGAGCGATGAAGATTATATAGGAAAATGCTGCAGGGTAGCGCGCAGGCTCAATGCAGGCTCTCTGATAGTACATCGTGTGATGACACGGTGCCTCATGAAGTACAAAAGGTATTTCGAGGAGGGATTCAAACCCTGAAGCGTGGCGAGTCAGAAAACACCAACGGCTGAGGCTCCAGACGCGATGTTGTCCAGCAGGTTCAGCAGGAACTTGATGAGCAAACATACATGGGTGTGTGTGTGTATGGTGTGGGTGGGAGGGTCTAGTATCGTCTCGTACACTTTTGTGGAAAGCGAGCGTTTTCCAACACCAGTGGCAGAAACCACCATCGTGACCACTTTTCAAAACGTACAAGAATTAATGTACCAATGGATGCCGCTGGTATATATACATTTGAGAATATCTCAGATCTATCCAACGTTAGTAATTAATTAGAAGGGTTGTTCTACGGTCCACAGTTCCTGAACCCGATGTTGCACACACGTACGTGCTGGTCCTTGGTCAGACGTGTGGCTCAGACGCGACCGTGCAGCGGGACTGTGCGTTGGGGTCGTTGCGGGACGTAACTTGGGTTTCCTCGCCGCAGCAGCGTCGCCATGGCAAAGCACCATCCGGACATTTGTGGGGGTCGGCATTGGGGAGACGTGAATGCAGGGACCACAACATGGACAAGAGGGAGATGGGTTTGGTATGGTGTGGGTATGAGCTCGGATGGATACTTTGACACTGAGGAGGTGAGCTTTGTCATGTTGCTTCACACGTTGGACACTGCAGCACAGATTTGTCGGCTCATACACTCATACATTCTCCATCATTCTAATTCTTCCGTTTTGTCCTGAGCCTTTCAGTTCTGAAAAAGGTGTGCATCGAGGCATCAAATACATCCATTGTTTTTACGCCAGCTTCCCTCGTCCCCTCCCAACCCACATGCCTCGCCCCGTGCCACCAGGACCTCATCATGTGCCGCAAGCAGTGCGGCATTGCCATCGGACGCCTCTGCGAGAAGTGCGACGGAAAGTGCGTGATTTGCGACTCCTATGTGAGGCACGCTCTCGGCCGTTTTCATTCGGATTCATTCGGTGGCGTGGCTCGGTCGGCGATCGGAGGTGGAGAAGGTCCGCCAGGGCACACGCCATGGCACACGTCATGGTGTGCCTTAAGTTGTATGCCATGGTGTGCCATGGCACTTTTGCTGTTTCTGATGAGAGGGCCCTGATAGATGTGGAGCAACCACTCATCTAGGACAATTTTGCGCTTAATTGAGGCAGACTTTTGGTGGATTGTTGTGAATTGAAAATTGAAACTCAAGCGTTTTGCAGTGGATGAGTCATGCGGGGTTGAGTTCCAGAACAAGGCTTTCCCGAAATTACAGCATTATGAAAGATGAAGAGCACGGTCACCCACATTTCTGAACCCTAGATGCAAAATGATCAAAAGAAGAAGGATGACGGCTTCAAAAGAAACAGTTGTGCTGGTTGCGCCACCCTGGTGGCGCACATTGGACGCATTGAGTTGGTGCACATTCTGCCGCCGAAGTGGCAAGGCTTCCCAGCCACATTTCGGCATAAATTGGAGCGGGTGCCGTGAACCTCCACTCCCTTATATAGTGAAACCACTCCAACCATGCGGAACTGTCGTATGTTGGCGTATGTGTTTATCGCTGCCCCCTTTAGAGAGCTTCAAACCCCATGGATGGATGGTCCAACCGTGCTGCCGAAAGGAGCAACCGACAAATGACATCGAAACCGGACCCTCCGAACACCCTTGAGCTGCACCGCACTGAACGCTCCGAACTCGTCGGCATTGAACCGTGAGTCCCAGCCGGTTCCCTTTGTGCCCTCCAACCTGGATGGAAGGCCCTCTCAACTGGCACGGGTTTGTGACGAGTGCAACTACGGCACCTGGGCGGCCAGTTTGGATGGACCCAGGTGGCTAGCGGCCCAGGTTGAGGGAGCATGAGGGAACAATGGTTTTTGCGTGCACATACACGGCACATAAATCAAACCTTTCTGAAGTACATAGAATTGTGATCATGATCAAGATCATGATACATACATTACACATCATGACGCAAACAAGTTACGATGTGTTTTCATGTGTTTTCTATATGTGCAACCTTATCATCATACCGAAGCAAGACAGGAAGACTTGTGAGATACTACTCTCTAGAAGAAACCTTTTGTTTTTTCCAAAAAACATGGAGCCCTAGGATATTCTTTACTATTATTTGATATCTTTTGTCACCGCAGTGAATCATAGTGAATCCACTCAGCAACTTCCACTCCCTGTGGGTTGCTTCGCCAACTCCCAACTTTTGCACCAATTCTCCCCTGCCGAGAATTCTCAGCCACTCTTGGTTGCTCAGGGTGTCGTCTCCGCGGCGTCGTCAAGTCGTTTGACGCTCCCCCCCGTGCGTGATTTGCGACGCGTCAGGCAGCTACCAGGGGCGGTGCGTGATCTGCGGCGGCGCAGGGATCTCGGATGCCTTCTACTGCAAGGAGTGCTGCCAGTGTGAGAAGGACTGACGGTACTTGGGGGGGCCAGTTAAGCCATGGATCGTTTTGTTTTCGTAGCTGCGGAGTGGGGTAGATGGACTCAGATCTCAGCCTGCCAATTAATTTTGCCCAACTGTCGGAACTCTATCGGCACCTCTTGGAGATCGAAGAGTCGTCAATGTAGGACTGGATCCTCAGTAGGACTGGAGAAGGAGAAGCGCCACTTAGCACATCTCCTTGGCCCCCTGTGAACCACTGTCAAAGACTAGCCAAGACCTTAAAACCATTTAAGGGATTGCGCCATCGACCAGGACTGTTCACGAGATCACCTTTGTGTGTTTCCATCACACACACACACATACCCAATTCTCCAAATGAACACAAACGCATGCTCGCGTGGCGTGGCGTTCGGATCTCGTGTCGCAGTGTGGTTACCATGAGAGGACCGCGATGGATGCCCCAAGATCGTGAACCTGGGCACCGCCCGGACCGATCTCTTCTATGAGCGACCCTGGGCAGCGAAGTCGACGTCGTCTTTGTCTTTCTAAGATGTCCAAGTGAGTAGCTTCTTGCTCCATTCGTAGCGATGCCCTTTGCTACTGGCAGCTTCTTGCTACTAGTAGTAATGCCAGGAGCTACTAGTAGCGTCCTTGCTCCTAGTAGGTCTGAAGAGTGGAACCAAAGTTGTGATCACCATCATCCTCCATCACCCACCGTGCCGTGTGTTCTTGCTCTTCGTTTTGTGATTTTTGTGGGGAACTCACTTTTGGGGTGCGGCGTGCTGGGGGGAAAGGCCGGCCATGCATGTGAAAAAAGACATGGAGAGGCCAAGCATGGAGGGAAGCTGTTCACTTGGATGGCCAAGCTGTGCACCTGAATTGCCAGGAAAGAAGTATGGCTTCAAGTCCAGATGAGCTTGGCGCAGACAGGGCGATGACAAATTGTCAGGAGCTTGTAGCTGGATTCACTTGGCTTTGGCAACTGCCTGACGTGAAAAGATGGTCGATGGTCGATGGTCACGGTATCGCTTATTGTGTGATTGATGGTTCGTTATGATGGTGCGTTATGGTGCTGCACGATCCCTGTTGATGAATCACGTATAGTATATACATTTACTGTACATTTACTACGACTGGTTGATTGGGAAGTGTTCAAAGTGAAAGGCTTTTTACATCTCAGGTTCTCCAACCCCCACTAATTATTGTAGAGTTCCCAGGTTGACGGTTTTGGGGGGGTTCTGTCTCACAAGGTCAAGCGGTCAAGCCCTTCCGATTCTTTAAGGACGTGTTACCCCGCACCGGGCCATCGGGGAAGGTCTCCTTACCCACCTTTGGTACACAAAGCCTCTCTTTTTGGGCTACGCTCGCCAGGCTTGTTGGCCCCCAAGGAGGACCAAGCCGCAGTGGCCAAGAACCGCCAGGCCAGGTGCGACCGGTGGCAAGGTGGCTTCAAACGGCATCACCAACGATCACAAGCGATCACAACTACCAACTTGTACCAGCAATGGCCTGCGACCTAAGAGCAATGGCCTCCAACCTACTAAGCGAAGGCCTCCAACCAGTCCTCCAACCTACTAAGCGATCACAACTACCAACTTGTTGGAAAAGCATCACCTGCAGTGCCTGCGGAGCACTGCTCCGCACCGTGATACACACTCGCAACGGCTCGCCCTCGAGGAGTTGATGATCGCCATCGCTTTGGAGGGGCCGGGCACCCGGGAGCACCGAACTCGCGGAGGGTGCATAAGTTCGGGGCCATTTTGGGGACAGGTCGGGTGTGAAGGTGCATAAGTGCATAAGTTATAAGGGGTTGCAGGAACATTCGGGAACAGTATGATACAATGATGCTGTGCAGTGGTTTCAGAAGATATAGATGGTACAATCAATGCACAATCATACAACACTTTGCAAGTCAGGCGTGCATCTACAAGAATGCCATCCGCATGACGATGCGCCTGCAGAAGAACTGCCACTTCAAGATTATGCCAATTAATGTGATAGAGACTGAGGTTCCCTTGGACATGGACCCATTCCAGGATAGAAGATCCTGAATGAAACCAGGTTGAACATTTGATTCAGGGCCCCGTCCATCTCAACAACCTGAGTCAGAAATGATGCGCTAAAGACTCATTAGGTAAAGGACTAAAGGAGGTGCTCATGTTTGAACTTTCTGTGTGGATGGATAGGCGATGGTTTGGCAGACTGAGGATGTCGTAGCATTTCTTCGCCAAGATGAACCGTTCCAGCGGTGGATAGGAAAGATGCAGAACATCAATCTGAAGTAACCTTTTGGCAAGGAAAACTCCTTAGAAGATTCCTCACATCTACCCCTTGATCGAGAAAGGTCCTTGAATTCTGCCAAACCCACCTGCACTGCGGGAAGAGAACAGATGGGACACCTCCACGATCGCTGCTCCTCGGATCGCGCTTCGGTGGACTCGTGCACCAGCGCGATCCTCGAATCTAGGCCCATTGGCCAAGCCTTGGGAGCGCAGCCACGGGATGCCAAGGAGCACGGGAGGGGGTCTTCATCATTCTTCATGCAAACCTCTTGGTCTTAGCTGCTTAGCTTGGGGTCCTAGGCCCCAAGCTATTTGAGTTGGAGACTTTTTTAGTGTTAGTTTTCCTGTTTCTGGGTGAGGTCCTGCTTCTTGCGACCCATAAGACCTCCACTTCTTGGCTGCAGGAGGCCCTGGGAGCCCCTTTGTTCGCTGGGGCGCCCGGAGCAGCGAGCTACGCTGGGGACGGTATTGGGCCACCCCGCCGTGGAGGAAACCATGGACTCTGACCATTTTCCTCTACAATCCCAGTGGTTTTGGGGGGTTAATCTGCAGGAGGGTATCACAGTAAGATAAAGCTTGATCCTGTAGAGGAAGTGGATGGGGTGATGGACACCATTTTGAGGTCATGTTTCACCAGGAACCCCCGAAACCACACAATGGATGTCGTTATATACTGGGAAGAATGGCGCCACCAGCAGTGAAGTGAACGCCATCCAACCATCATCCAACCATCCAACTGCTTGAACACCATGTGTGTGTGTTTGTTCTCTCCAGATATTTGTCAATCACAGTGCTTGCTGAACCTTTTTGTTCGTCGTTTGGCTTGCAGAAACTGGATGATCGCAGGTCAAATGGTCGCATCCCCCGATCCCGATGGCCCCCCCTCTCCTCGTAGAGCGGTTGACACGGTCAACGATGACCGATGTATCCGATGCGTCCGGGCCTCGCGAGGAGGAGGTCGTATCAACTATCGTATCCAATGTGGCCCTAAACACACGTGACTTATACCCAGCGCTTGTGCTTTTTCCTATTCGTAATTCCATGCAAGAAACCAAGTGTACAGCAATATAAACTATAGAAAGAATATGACAGAATGATCGATGTCATGTTAGAATGGTTCTTTTATGTTCTTATTGTTCACCCCGACTCTTTCATCCACCACCCCACCGCGGTGTGCATGAAGCGGCGCTCGTGAGGTGCATGACGTGGCCATCTCCTGGGCTCATCCGTTCGAATGGCAGGTCGGTCAGGCACGGTCAGCGGTGGAGACGCATGGCAGGTCGGCAGATCAGAAGAGATTTATCAAAAGCATGATGAACATGATGATAGAAAGATTATTCATATATATATATATATATATTGAAGATTGGTCATGTATCGACTTTGGATTAGTAACCCCCCCAACCCTCTAGGTCTATAATTGTATATGAAGAGGATTTACATGGTTTTACAATCCAAATGAGGGGGTGTTATCAATCCAAGAGTCTACATTATGGCATCATGGGGATTTTGCGGCTTATGGATGCTTCTGGTGGATGCTTGGTCTATCTTGTTCTATTGAATACCATGCATGTTAGATAGCATATTGAGGTATATATATATATATTTCATGTGTCTAAAGAATTCTGACCTTTGGAGTGATGGTTGATCAGTTTCTCAGCATTTGTTTCTCAGGGTGACCCTTGGAGAAGGAGCCCGGTTCGCTGAAACGGTTCGGTACAGAAATATCCCTCAAGTCTCAAGTCTACCCCAGAAATTTGGGGCCTCAAGCACGCTGTTTAGACATAGGTTTTTATAGTGGCGGGCATGTCCCACTTGATCGGTACTTTAGATATCTTTATGATGGTTTTCCTATAGGCCTTGGTGAGATCGTTTCCTTGGTAATGGTCGTTCTGTTCAAGCAATGTTTGGTCGTCGAAGCTTTCGAGACAATCGGGATCAGCAGTCGAAGTGGGCCGTTTGGCCGAGAATTCCACCTGTAACATGCGTGGATTCCAGTGCCTCAAAAAGTCATGCAGAGAGTCCATATATGTCCATACGGTCGCAGTCCATCGTGTCAAGACTTCATCACGGTTTCCAACAATGACATCAGGTGAATGAATCTGGGACTATCCGCAGCATGGTATTGGACTGACTAATTTTGAGCATTTTAGTCCTGCAATGTTGAAATGACAGCACTACACTACACTAACTTGCAGAATAAAATTGCAACCAGTATTAATTACTTATAGAAGTCTTATCATATGTTATAATTGTTATTATGTAAAGTTTGTGATGACACTTGCAGTCATGTGAACATGAAACTTCCAGAAGTTGCAACGGAGCTATGCAGAACAAATGTTTGGGTCGATTCCTCAAGATGTTCTATGTCCAATCCGTTTCAATCCTATACCAGAACCTGAAAATGACTCACCACTACCGTATCATTTGTAGGTATATATGTTCTATTTTTTAAAATAGTAGCTCAATCCCACCCTATCCCACCAACTCCGATCCATTGTCCCCCATCTGGATCCGTTGCTCCGCCAGGTGCTCTATCACGGTCCGGCGGCGTTGAAGCTCCCGATCCTCCGCTCCGGGGGTTTGGCGCTCGGAGACGTCGTTTCGTTGCAGCGGAGACTCTGGGTCAGTACAGGTGATACTGGATAGAAGGATCCCCTGTTTGAAGAGCATTGGAATGGTTCACTTCCAATTTGTTGAGGTCAGAGTGCATACCCATATATACCCATTGCGGCCTTCCGACCGCCAAAGGGGGCGGCCTTCCGACTGCCTGCTGAGGCGGTCGCCACTGGGTCTCCTTGGCACAAGTGGCCGGAGCCCTCGTGCTTCGGGGTCGTTGAGCAAGACCGAGGTTGAGCAGACTGAGGGTGTTGCTTGGAACATGGATGAACATGGAATGGATGCTAGATGTTTTATAGAGAAACCAGGCGAAACCAGCAGGAGGGAGTAGAAATTTGGCCATTTCCAAGATCTCACATGTTGTATATCACTGAATATCACATGATAACACTATTTAGCAGACCATGCCCTTCATGCCCTTCACACCTGAAGGTCTGGGTGTTTCAGCCCGCAGACTTGTGCCAGGTGGGAGTGGGCGGCGTTGGGGCCGGGGTGGAGGAGTAACAGGTTTTTATTCCAGGAGACCCCAAGGGTTGGTGTTTGGACCCTAAGGGGTGGTTAAGTTCTATACAGTAGTTTCCAAGTTGTATTTGATGGATTTTGTTATAATAGTTATAACATTAGTAAAACACACACACACACACACACGACTACTTTTGGGGGTCCAGTCCAATGTTCATCCATTGTCGCGATGCAAACCCGTCAACAACCCTAGACGCCCCCAGACTCGCGTTCCGCGCGTTCCCTGCGCGATGTTTCAATTGAGCCATCAAGGTCATGATTGGAAGGCATGTAAATGAAAATGCGTGTTGGTGGTTTCACATTGGCGTCCTAGACATTTGCAGGGGTTGCAGAGATTGAACTTTGGAGGCCATGATATATAGACTTGTTTGCGCATTGAAATCAGCAGAATATGATCCGCAATTGTTGATTCGGTATTGGTAGACACTTGGACAAGAACAATGAAAGAGACTTTGTGTGGGTTCCGCCTGCACAGGCTTGCTCTCCAGTGCCAAGTCAAAACACAGTCATGACATGTCATGACCATGTTAATTAATGCAAATCTTGCAACCGGCGATGACTGTGCTCATGTTTCGCCAGCCAACCCGGTAGCTTACATCTCAGCAAGGTTTGCTTGGCCAAAGTTAAAAGAAACACACACACATATAATATATATATATATATATAATATGCATAGATGAACCACATGAAGGAACAGATCCAACAGATTGAACACTCGAAACTGCAGATCTTTGGAGAAACGCCTTGCGGCCGCACCACTCGACCAGATCTCGAGCGACCCGCCCCATCGACACCCCCACTCGACCACGTACCACATGGACCGCCCAGGTGGTCACCGGCCAAAGCTGGGACAAAGTGGCCGAAGGCGACGGCTCTGTCGGGCGCGCCCAGGAGTTTGGACGGCGAGGACCGGGAGCCTACAATGTCCAGTCCGACCCAGAAAAACTAGTAACTTGTCTTTTTAGTTCCTTATAAAAGCATTGCTTTTTGTATGACCAACTCCAGTAAAATGAGGTCTTTGACTTGTAGGGGGAGGAAACGGGGAAGTGGCAGGGGGACCGGGCGCTCCCCAAGCCTGTAGTGATTGGGTCTTCAACGAGGGGTCCACTTGGTGCACCTTGTTGATGATTTGTTTTCTTTCCGATGTGTCTCTCGATGGTAGTTGGCTGGAATCTTTCAAGGGCTCGAGGAGGATTCGACCTTTGTGGACGCGCCAAGGACGAGCCAAGGGCAAATTGTTTTGCTAGTGGTTGACTGCGAAATGGATGGTGCATGACTTTTGCCATGAATCATCATGAATCACCTCGTGCACACCTTGCACACTCACCTCAGAGAAACATATATACAAATACATGTTTCGGTGGGTGGAGGGCACCACCCAAAGCAAGTGATCTTGCATTCAGAATTATTCAGTTGGTGGCTTTTTGGTGGGAGGCCGGGAGGCCAGGGTGCTCAATTAGCAGCACTGTAAGCAGGCAGGACAATGCAAGTAATTTTGATAACCGAACGCCGAACATATATAATCGAGAAAACATGGTGTGGCAGACATTCTGTTTGTTGGAGTCCTGGACTCCAGTGAATTGGGGGGGGTCGCTGCCTGATTGTGCCCACTAGAGGGAACAACCCCGGCGACCCAATACTTTCAAATCTTCAGTGCAATGCTCCAACTTATGTTGCAAAGGCCGGTGTTAAGCATCATCAACCATCATCAACATCAACATCATCATCATCATCATCATCATCATCATCATCATCATCATCATCA